GCTAACTTATCTCAGGGCTCGATGTTAACCATCGCCCGATCTCCCGGGGCAAGTAGTTTTTATTGTCGGGAGAGTACAAATTTCATTGCATTTGCCCGCCAGGCAAGTGCAATGATCGCAAAAAAAAAATTAGCACTCAAAATTACTTTAAAATCACCAACATTGGATGAAAACGAATCGCGTTATTTGAAAAAGCCGCGTGATTTTCTGCCGGATGGCGTGATTTTTGTCCGGGAATTGGCGCAAATCAGACACATTTTTTTTTTGACTTAGCAGGCTAAAAAACAACAACACGGCAAAAAAATTTAAGTAGAGTAACACCCCCACCACCCATTTTACCCTCTACCCAGATAACCCTAGATTAAAAATGATCAGTCAGGGATTAGGAAAAATCTGCATAATTGTATGCCATGCACACAGTGTAAATATGGCTATCATATGGCAGTCTTCAGTACAGTGATGCAGGTCATACATTAAAAAATGCTCAAGCACTATAGAAAGTCCATGTCCTGTACTTATGGAGCCATTATTTATCCTCTGCTTGCTGCTTTTAGCACTTCTGGTCAGACCTAAACTGCATTTCGTTGCCTTGTACCTGTACCTGTGTAATGACACTATAGTTTAATCTAATCTAATCTAAATAACATGAAGAACTAAATATGTTTTAAAATGTGCTAATTTAAAAAAAATAGTATATTATTATTGTGTCAGATGTATTAAATACTGACTGAAAGAAATAAAACATGTTTTCTTAAACATTGATAAATGAAATTAAACAGAAACTTCTTAGGTTACTGAGAAAAACGATAAAGATGTGAAACAACGTTTCTAATTAACAGAAATATAAAACTATCATTACAGGGTATGTCGCTTTAATATACTGTTTGATTATCTGTTAGTTAATTTCAATAAAGTTATAAATTCCTGAAATTAAGTGATATTATCATGTAATAAATGTTTTACATGAAGCCCTTTGCTTTCCCTTTATAAATCCCTTCTAAGTGGTTGTTATCAGTTAAATCAAATTTTAATCTGTCAAAACATTACTTAACAATTAATGATGAGATTTTATGTTTACATCCTTATTTGTAACCCTAACCTTACTTAAATTTGACCTTTAACCTTTAGAAATAGTTCAGCCCTACAACCAACCTTGCTTAGCTCAGCAGTTCGAGGTTAAGAAGCTGAATCTATTATTCTGCCTACATTCCCCAGAATGCCGAGCAGTTCCTGAATTTATATAAAGTTGTATCAGATCTGCAACCAAGGACTTTTCTGTAAATCGATTAATCTGACGATTATTTTTTTCGATGTATAATTGGATTGTAAAAGGTCCCTTAAAGAAGATTTTTTACTAAATTAAACCAGGTGAAACTCAAACTTTTCCACTTGTTGGTTCTGGTTAGTGAATATTGAAAGACGAAAATGTTTTTCTTCATCAATTTTGACATATTTCCCGCTCTGTGTCGCACTGTCAGCTAAAGTCATGTTTTAGAGTCTCTATATTCCAGTTAACAGTAAATCGATTACTAAATTAGTTGACGATCACTTTAATAATCGTTTAATTAGATTAATTGTGTCAGCCCGACAACAAAGGAAATACCAACATCCTCTCACTTGGTTGAGAAAAAAAATTGAAGCAGGAAGGGGGGAAAATTACGGAGCCCTTAAAGGGACATGGAGGGAAAAAAGAAACTTTTGTGAGATCCTGCAAAAGTATTGCGAGATCCTGCAAAAGTATTGCAAGATCCTGCAAAAGTATTGCGA